AGGTTACTGCAGTTAGAAGTAGAAAGCCAAACTGGGGTGATTGTTTCCTGTGATACAATACGGCGTACACTGCAGAGGAATGACATGCATGGATGTCATCCACGAAGAAAGCCTCTCCTAAAGCCCATGCACAAAAAAGCCCACCTAAAATTTGCCAGGGTCCATGCTGAAAAGAAGAAGACTACTGGGACTCTGTACTCTGGAGTGATGAGACCAGGATACATATTTTTGGAACTGATGGCTTCAAAACTGTATGGTGTCACAAAGGGAGTGCAAAGAAAAATGCATGGTGCCTACAGTGAAACATGGGCTGCATGAGTGCTGCTGGTGTCAGGGAGCTGCATTTCATTGATGGTATCATGAATTCACAGATGTACTGCTCTATATTGAAAGAGAAGATGCTACCATTTTTCTGTGCCTTTTGTCGTCGTGCACTTTTCCAACATGACAATGATCCAAAACACACATCTAAGGCCACTGTTGAAGTTCTGAAGAAGAACAGTGTAAAAGTGATTTTGTGGCCAAGTATGTCTCCTGATCTGAACCCAATCGAACTCCTATGAGGAATTCTGAAAAGACAAGTTGAGCATCACTCTCCATCCAGTATTCAGGCTCTAAAAGAGGTCATTCTTGAGGAATGGAAAAAGACAGATGTTGCAGTATGTCACCAACTTGTTCATTCCATGCCTAGACTTGGTGCTGTCCTTAAAAATCATGGAGGCCATACAAAATACTAGATGTAGTAGTTTTTGTTGTGGGCTGTATTCATTTTTGCATCAACTAATTTGAGTAAAACGGAAGATTTTGTGATCTAAGTCATATTATTAACCTTACTTTCATGTAATGAGCTAAACAAATGTTCTATAAAACTTTGGAAGTTGTTCTTGTGCTCATTGAGATATTGATTAAAATCTTACTTTTCAAAAGAGGTGTACTCATTTATGCTGAGCACTGTATTTTTGCTTAGTTTAGCAATGATCTATTTCCCAAGAGATTTATTCATTTGACATTAGGAAAATGGATGTTGTCCAGTAGGGGCATTATACCTCTTTTTTCATATATTTATATTTTATCTTAAAAAAAAGTTTTTTTGGAATTATGAATATATCGAGACATGGATGTACCGGTATCCTTTTTCATGATAGTTGTTGATTGTTGGTTTGATGACAGGACACTCTGGAGAAAGAGATTCTTGTGCCGTGATCAGATGGTTCTATATAATGTACAAGTACATCAGCATGTGTAGACTGATCCCCTTGACAACATCCTTTTTGATGAAACATACGTCAAGGTAGGAGGTGTCTGTGCTGATGTCATCATCACTGACTGGTGCCGGCACCAGCAGCGTTCATTTACATGCAGTTTGATTTTATGACTTTGTAAGTAGAATATTTGTGGTTTTTAACAATAAATTATTGGTGATATCACACTATGGTGGATTTCTTTTATACGTGAGTGCTCTTGGCGGCAAGATAAACGTTAAACTGTCATGGCATTGGAATATTTCATCACACCATCATCATGAGGATGTATGCAGTGTCATGTCAAATAGACCTCATTAATTTGAGGTCTAGGGAATTGGTTAGAGGCTGGTTATATTGGTGGTGGATTCACTTCTCACAATGGATTGAAGTTGATGGACACTTCTTCATGGGAAAACTTTAATGATTTGGACTTTTAATTATATGTCACATTAAGATATATCACTTTTTTGGAGTATTTACAATTTTTTTAGTTATTCACTTATTTATTTACAGAGCAACTTGCTTCTGATAGTAAACCCATTCCATGAGCTTAACAGAATTAACCCTAGTGGCAACTTGTTGAGACTTCAGTTATAAGTTTGGATTAGCTTGGACCAATGTAACTATGCATATACAGTACCATACCTGTGGGATTGTGGGATTCCTCTAGAAGCTGGAAATCACTGTAGTAGACAATACTACAGGGTTCTGTGCTGATCGGCTTCCCTGCCCTCTAGGCAATGCTTTCCCCACCATGGTCCCACCAAGCTGGACCAGTATAACTAAGTAAAAATGCCATATCTGTGGCTCAGATGCATGGCCATTCCAGGAATACTGCAAAGCCTGGTCTTATGTTATTCCATCTGTTACGGTTATCTGGATCATCTAACTGAGTCTGCATCTGATCAAGGGTGTTGAATAAGGTTTCATGGTCATAGCAGAGGATTTTGTGGGCTAGTGGGCTAAAGAGTGTTCATCATGCTTGGTCTCCAGGTTATCAGGCTATCTCATGAGTATAAGTGTTCTTTTGCAAAGCAGTCCTTGGCAGGTGGTATATGTCGAGAGAAGACCTGTGGAAAAGCCAGAGAAGAAAAAAAGTCTGCAATGCTATCTTGGAGCATCATGGGCTGTCGGTGGTGTCTCAGCAGGTTTGCTAGCTAGGAAATTCTGGTTAGGGCTTCCACATTGTGCATTCCTTCTCTGCATGCACAGCTCTGGAAGAAAGGGGGTATAGCAAGAAAGGAGTATAAAGTCCATGTCTTGCCCTTGCAATCCTAGCTTTAGTGTTCTTGGTATGGCAGAGCTCTATGAGAGAGCACCTGTTCCGTCCCGAACATTGGGGACAAAACACAGTGGGGATCGAAAGTTTGGGCACCCCAACTAAAAATTTGTATTAATGTGCATAAAGAAGCCAAGGAAAGATGGAAAAATCTCCAAAAGGCATCAAATTACAGATTAGACATTCTTATAATATGTCAACAAAAGTTAGATTTTATTTCCATCATTTACACTTTCAAAATAACCGAAAACAAAAAAATGGCATCTGCAAAAGTTTGGGCACCCTGCAGAGTTAATATCTTGTACTGCCCCCTTTGGCAAGTATCACAGCTTGTAAACGCTTTTTGTAGCCAGCCAAGAGTCTTTCAATTCTTGTTTGAGGTATCTTTGCCCATTCTTCCTTACAAAAGTCTTCCAGTTCTTTGAGATTTCTGGGCTGTATGTCACGCACTGCTCTTTTAAGGTCTATCCATAGATTTTCAATTACGTTGAGGTCAGGAGATTGTGAAGGCCATGGCAAAACCTGCAGTTTACACCTCTTGATGTAATCCCCTGTGGATTTCGAGGTGTGTTTAGGGTCATTATCCATTTGTAGAAGCCATCCTCTCTTTAACTTCAGCTTTTTCACAGATGGCATCAAGTTACCATCCAAAATTTGCTGAAATTTTATTGAATCCATTTTTCCTTCTACTCGTGAGATGTTCCCTGTGCCACTGGCTGCAACACAACCGCAAAGCATGATTGATCCAACCCCATGCTTAACAGTTGGACAGAGGTTCTTTTCATTAAATTCTGTGCCCCTTCTTCTCCAAGCGTACCTTTGCTCATTCCGGCCAAAAAGTTCAATTTTAACCTCATCAGTCCACAGAACTTGTTTCCAAAATGCATCAGGCTTGTCTATATGTTCATTTGCAAAGTTCAAATGATGATTTTTGTGGTGAGGGCGTAGAAGAGGTTTTCTTCTGATGACTCTTCCATGAAGACCATATTTGTACAAGTATCTCTTTATAGTGGAATAGTGTACCACAACTCCAGTGTCTGCCAGATCTTTCTGGAGGGATCGTGCAGTCAAACGTGGGTTTTGAATTGTTTTTCTCACAATCCTGCGAGCTGTTCTGTCTGATATTTTTCTTGGTCTTCCAGATCTTGCTTTAACTTCCACTGTTCCTGATGACTGCCATTTCTTAATTACATTCCGAACAGAGGATATTGACATCTGAAAACGCTTTGCTATCTTCTTATAGCCTTCTCCAGCTTTGTGAGCGTCAACTATTTTCAGTTTCAGTTTTCTAGACAACTGCTTAGAAGAACCCATGGTGCTGATTGTTGGGGCAAGGTCAGATGAGTCTGGGCATTTAAAACCTTTGAGCTTGACATCACCTGGTCTTCCCAGACGATGATTGAGAAATCCATGACACTGGCCGGTCTCAGCTTTGCAAAGGGGGCAGTGCATGCTATAAATGCTGCAGGGTGCCCAAACTTTTGCAGACGCCATTTTTTTGTTTTCTGTTATTTTGAAAGTGTAAATGATGGAAATAAAATCTAACTTTTGTTGACATATTATAAGAAAGTCTAATCTGTAATTTGATGCCTTTTGGAAATGTTTCCATCTTTCCTTGGCTTCTTTATGCACATTAATACAAATTTTTAGCTGGGGTAACCAAACTTTCGATCCCCACTGTATATGCCCGTTATTCACTTTTTTACCATTTGGTATATGATTGCTCCTTCAAAAATGTTAACAGATTGGATAAATGGACATGGTGCAAGTTGTTTGAAATACAAAGATTACATTGACCTGCTGTCTGTCCTGTCTCCAACAGGAGGTACACAATGACCAAAAGCTCATGCAACGCAAAATGAGCATGTGACCAAATCCTGTTTGAACAGAATTACAGCTATTTTAAAAAGTTAAATAATTCACATATACATATTACAACAGTATATTTATCTGTTTGTTACATGCTACACTTAAAATATACTAAAAAATATGTATGTTTAAAAACAACTAAAGTGCCCCAGCTTCACAAAGCAGTTACGTCCAGGTCATACAGCAGGAAGCTGCACGATTGTTGGAGATCCCAGCCGCTCTAAAGATAAACCAAGGATCTTGGACCACTTGACCAGACATGGTGAGCCTAGAGGTATGCTATAAACAGGATTCAAAAGCTTTTTTAAAAGAGACAAAAAATAGTCTATATAATCAATATACTACATTTGTTGGTGCTACTTTTAATTAAACTGACCTAAAGAAAATGCTATCAATTGGAGCACCATACCTACAGATGGGTATGTAAAATATATAGGATGAGTGCAAAGCAGTGCTGCTGCTTTTGTTATGATTGCTTACAATCAAATAAAAAATATTTAAGAATTTCTTAAGGCAACTCGAACTTGAACATTGTAAAAAATCTCATTACAGGCTTTTTGTGCTCTAAAAAAAACAAAAAAAACCACGTTAGTAAAGTTTATTATTACCTGCTGTGGAGGAATACACTGAATTTTTGGCACCACTCCATATACATTCAAAATCACATTTTCAATCTCTTCTACCTGAACGAAAGTACATTAATTATTACATTGATTATCATTAGCTTTGTTCATTTGATGTTCAGACATATTATCAATGTTGTGTTTTGCACACAGTTATCATTCCCTTTATTCTGAAAATCAGCATTCACATAGAACAAACCCTCTTATAGTGAAATGTTGCAACATCAGCAAAGGTCTTACAGCAGAAACAACAAACATTCAGCATCAAAGACTGATTAGTGTGATAATTCTATTCACATTTTCACATAATGTACAATGCTATCATGAAAAAAAAAGTGAAAGAGACACCCGGATTGAGCTAAATTGTCTGTTTATATTTTTTCAATATTCTAAAGTGAAACTCAAGTCAAAACTTGAGGCTATAATAATTGCATTCTATACCCACATTAGGGAAATTGACACTACTTCCTGTTCTGGTGAAGTAATGATTGGGGCAGGAAGTGAGGGAAGAGCTCTAAAAGGATAAAATGGCCCTAAAAGGAAACAATGTCAATATATATCTGATGGGGAATCTAGCCTTTTCCCACACCTTAAAAAAATTATATACATATATTTATTCTGCTGCTGTGTCCTGGTTGGACAGTTTCTCCATCACTTCCCAGTTATTGGCTTAATTAGAAGTTGTTGGTTTTAATTACAATTCTATAACGTACGCATTTATTCTTTCACAAGCATGACATTTTACATATGGCTACGGATTAGTTGATTAACCAGTAGACAAAAATGTAAATATGGCAGAATCCAAATATAAATCCTATACACAGACAATATAATTGAAAGCCCAGTACACATTCCTAATTACCAATCTAATCACTTTACGGTTGTACATTCTAGCACTGCTACAAGATTTGTCATATGGTGTATATTAACTGTAGTTAACTCTAGTAGTACCCTATCCCTTTCAAGATTCATACTGGCATTCAACATGTGTTTTCACATATGGAAGGAGACATTTTCTTTGCTCATGCTTTTGAAACCTTTCTCAACAGTGCAATGTTTTTGTAGATTCACTCTTTGTTTTGTCATTATTTTGTGAACTGAGTAAAATAAGCCTTAAAGCCTTGTTTATACTAACCTTCTTATATCCCAATTATTATTTACTATCATTATTTTCAGGATCATGGATTATTCTACCAAAGCCCCTCCCCCATCCATTTCTTAATTATTTTAGTTTTTAATTTTGTCCTCTATAGGTCCCTGGTTGCTCTTCAGGACATTTCGCTGCTTTTGCCAATTCTTGCAGCATTCTCCATTCTGCCCAATACCTAGCCTTAGAAGTTCATTGTTACTGCACACAAACACAAAATATAAAATGCTCAGTTGAAAGCCACCATCTTGTTCTCTTTTTAGAAGTTTCAGCTTTTTTCCATCCACAACCCTTCTGCCCAGCATATTTAATGTGCTCTTCTCCTTACTTCCTTAAATTCACTTATTGTTGACTTGTTACTTTCTTCTAAAGCTTTATTACATTCCATATCCTACCATCTTTTCCTCTGTCCATAAACACATGCTCTCTACTGAACCATTCTAATTAATTTGTACTATTCCATTGTTTCTCCAATTTCATACCTTTGGCGAGTTTCTGCAAAGTGCTTTTCTTTATTTATTGCATCAAAATATCCTCGTTTTACCACAAAAGAGCTTAGTTGCCTTCCCTTTTGTATGGCTAAATACCACTATTTTTCATCTGCTCTTGAGTCACAATATATAGTGTTTTGTGCTGCAATCTTGTACAGTTATGTACATCCTGGAGTGTTGATTTATATCAGCTATCATCCAATGATCTATAATTTTGTCACCCCAAATGCCCTGTACACAAGATGAGAATATCGGACGAACAATAGTCCGTTTTTTTCGCCTACTAGTCTCACATCTAAATTGAAAGGTTACTAAAGATACAAAAATTCTTGTACAAAAGAAAAGAATTTCGAAACTGATGTCATGTACAGTTGTGTTCAAAATAATAGTCAGACATCACTAACCTGTTCAATCACTGTTTTTGGTAGAAATGATATTTCTACATGGCAAATAATTTACTAGCATGTGTAGTAGAGTAATAGAAATCCAACAGACCCAACAGTCATGACATGCATGCTGCTGATTCTGTGTAATTGAATCACTAATTGAAAGGGGCATGTTCAAAATAATAGCAGTGTGGTGTTCTATTAGTGAGGTCATTAATTCTTTGAAAAACAGGTGGCAATTATTGCCCTTATTTAAGGAAGGAAGGCAGCAAATGTTGTACATGCTGGTTACAGTGCATTTCTCTCTGAAATTCTGAGGAAAATGGGTCATTCCAGACATTGTTCAGAAGAACAGCGTACCTTGATTAAAAAGTTGATTGGAGAGGGGAAAACATATAAAGAAGTGCAGAAAATGATAGGCTGCTCAGCTAAAATGATCGCAAATGCTTTAAAATGGCAACCAAAACCTGAAAGATGTGGAAGAAAGCGAAAAACTACCATGGATAGAATAGCCAAAATGGCAAGGACTCAGCCAACAATCAGCTCCAGGAAGATCAAAGAAGGTCTAAAGTTACCTGTGAGTACTGTTACAATTAGAAGATGCCTATGTGAAGCCAAGCTATCTGCAAGAAGCCCCCGCAAAGTCCCACTGTTGAAAAAAAACACATGTGCTGAAGAGGTTACAATTTGCCAAAGAGCACATTGACTGGCCTAAAGAGAAATGGCGCAACATTGTTTTTTTTGGGTCTAGTGGCCGGAGACAGTTTGTCAGACGACCCCCAAACACTTAATTCAAGCCACAGTACACACTGTGAAGACAGTGAAGCATGGTGACAGTGAAGCATGGTTGCGCAAGCATCATGATATGGGGATGTTTCTCATACTACGGTGTTGGGCCTATTTATCACATACCAGGGATCATGGATCAGTTTGAATACATCAGAATACTTGAAGAGGTCATGCTGCCTTATGCTGAAGAGGAAATGCCCTTGAAATGGGTGTTCCAACAAGACAACGATCCCAAACACACCAGTAAACATGCAACATCTTGGTTCCAGACAAGATTGGAACAAGATTGACGTTATGGAGGGGCCAGCCCAATCCCCAGATCTTAATCTAATAGAAAACTTGTGGGGTGACATCAAAAATGCAGTTTCTGAGGCAAAACCAAGAAATAGAGAAGAACTGTGGAATGTAGTCCAATCATCCTGGGCTGGAATACCTGTTCACAGGTGCAGAAGTTGGTTGACTCCATGCAACACAGATGTACAGCAGTTCTCAGAAACAGTGCTTCTACAACTAAATATTAATTAAGTGATTCAAAGGAAAGCAAAATCCTCCAACATTTTTCAGTTTATATAGTGAATGTTTGAGTTTGTAAAGAAGAATACAAACACTGCTATTTTTTTGAACAGTCTAATATTCACTTTTCTTCAATTTTTTTTAGAGGAACAGCACAAATTTGATATATTTTTCTTCATGTTTTGGTTTGGAATAGAATGTGTAGTGTTTCCAATGCATTTGTGTGTATGGAAATAAAAGCTATTAGAAGGATTTTGAGCTTTATTCACTTTTTTCAACACACTGCTATTATTTTGAACACAACTGTATTTGTATTGTATTTTCGGACAACTACTGTACTGAATAAACGAAAATCGTATGATCTGGTATCATACAAGAAAAAAATTTCCCTTCGGAGATCGTCACACGAATTGTCGTGATCGGCTCTCGAAAGCTGTATACGAACGATCCGATTATCGGACAATCGGTCCTCGCACGAAAATTCTCTTTTCTTGTGTATGGGGCAACAGCGTGATCTCTACATCTCCTAATGTATATCTTTTGTGAGCAATATGTTCTGCTGAATCCTATCTTCACTGAAAAAATAATTGCTTTCTAACTATTATATTTATCTTCTTCAAGCAACTTTCTTTTATCTATTACTAGGTATTTTTACCTCTCATTCCTATCATTGGCTACTTTCATACATGGCTTCCAATTTGTAAAAGTCATTCTTCGCTTCCTCTGACATGTTCTTTGATAAGAACTTGAACGGTAAATGCAGTATGGATATATCTTAATCTACTGGCCCAAAACAGAGCCTGTTTCTATGTATTATGCATCATAAAGTCAGTTCCACTTAAAACTATCCTATCCCTTCTCACATATCTCCTTTAAGGTTGTCAACTATATTCTTCTTTTTACATTTATCTTTCTGTTTGCAAATCTTCCACAACTTTTTAGACTCGGTATTTTACAGCGTGCCAACCAAATATTATTATCAGAACCAATTTCCAATCTTTGATATCTCTTCCTGTTTCTTTACTAGTCTAAAACTAGTATAGAGGCACTAATGGGTCAGGCAGATGCGATATATTAAAACAGCAAGTTTTTTAATTGTAAACATTTTGAGGTTCTTTTCATCTTTCCTGCTTCTATATACTGCAGTTAATACTTTGAGACTTTAGTACATTTTTCTTTAGCTCTAGTCCAGCCTCCAATCCTAAAGAACCAATGATTTTCTGTGAGCATTTTCTTGTTTAATGATGGTGGCTCTACTATGCCTTAGGAGCCCTCCCTGTCCTAGGGTCATTAGGTGTCAAGCACATGACTAAACCAAAACCAAAAAAAAGATGTCAGCAGCGTAAGATGTGAAGGAAAAACAAAAATGGCAGCAGCTTTGGGCTTTTTTATTTTCTTAAATAAAACAATATACAAACACTTTCTTTCTGAGAGCATGCAAAATTGTCCCTGATGCTTTTCCTTCCCCATGCTTTGGTGCTCTAAGGTCCTCTGAAGTCATAAAGGCCAATGGAGGGACCACAGCCCTGCAGTAGACGTGAGGATGTTGAGGAACACTCCACCACCAACGCATGGGGGAAGACTGCCGTAGGAGCGGAATATCAAGCAAGTGGTTTTCTATCCCCTAGAATAACCAAGCAAATAACTCTTGCAGTGTAGGAAGAGCCCCTCTGCAAAGAAGGGTTTTGAAGTCTCCTGGAGTTGGGCTGTAAAGTAAGAAAATTTTCTTGTGGAATTTTTGTTGAAACACACTTAACTACTGGCACATTTTTAAAACCATAATTTACAAAGAAAGACAGACAAGATAAAATAATGCACAGTGCTTTTCACCTTGTATGTGTTTGCAGGTTTAATTCCAGACTTCTCAAGAGCACTGGAAAAGAAAACATGCAAATCATTTTAAAACTCCACAGTATAGTTTATACACTTAATATCTGAAACACAAAAATATACATTTGTGTAATGTATATATATTCTGAAATGCTTAATATATTTTAAAGCCAAGGAACAGAAAACAGCTTAGAAAAAAGTAGATGTCAGGAAATCTAAATCTCCACACAATAGGACCCCAATTAAAATTTCTTATAACTAGAGATGAGATTAAATCACATGACATTTGCTGAACTGCTACTAAGATCTGCATGTTAAAGTGGTTCTAAAGACTCAAGTTTTTTTTACCCTCATGCATTCTATGCGCAAAGGTAAAAAAAAAAAACCTTCTGTGTGCAGTGCCCCCCCCAATCCAGCGATTTTCTCAACAGCCTCTGCTGTCTGGGGACTCTTCCTCTGCATTGGCTGACACAGCAACGGAAGCCCAATGGCTCCGAATGGTGTCAATCGCAGGCAGGGAGCCAACGAGGAGAGAGCGAGGGGGGGGGGAGTGGAGCATGCAGAGGTGTCCCCAGAGCGGCTTCGACTAGGGGCACTGCTTGAGGAGGAGGAGCCAGGAGAGCCGGAGGGGACCCGAAAAAAAAGAGGATTGGGTCTGCTCTGTGCAAATTCACTGCAAACAGCAGGTAAGCATAGACATTTATTTTGAAAAAAAAAAACAAGCTTTAGTGTCACGTTAATACAAACCCCAGTGAAGTCAATAAAGGCTGAATTTTTAAAATCAATTGTGGCCAATCAAACAGGCAAAGGATTGTCAAGCAAAAGGCATGGGGAACTAGGCACTGCCCTGGGGAAGATATAGAAATGCAAAAAACATTCAGTTTAGTGGGGAGCAGCTCTTTTAATAACACATAAAGGTCACCATTAATAGTGCACATTTCTGTTAAATAACATTTTTGCACTAAATGACATTTACTTTTTAAATTATTTTTGTTGTAAAAGAAACAGCACAAGGAACCCCCAGACAAAGGGCATAGGGAAGCTGAGCAATACCCTGAGGGATATATTCTTTTATTATTGCCTAAAGGGCAAAATTAAAAATGCAAAATGATTTTAAAAACGCATGTTTGGAGAATACCCTAAACCTGCCTGTGAAGTGGTGCATTTTTAAAATACCATTTGAATTGCCGAAAAATTTAATTTTCCAGTCATTTCCCAGTCGCTTTGTTCTATTTGTAAACAAATCGACTGGGGATTCTCTTCATCTATACCAGACTAGATATATCCTAGATGATGAGCTGTAACAAATGTTAATGGGGTAAAAAAAAGTCTACACCCCTCTTGCCTGAACCATACCAAGCCACATGTATTTTCAAATACACAGCACAAAAAAATTCCCAAAAAAGTAATCCACCTCCACCCTTGAAGGTTAATCAAAAATTGTGTACAAAACTTTTCTTTAACAAAACCACATCAAGTGTCCAAAACAAATCCCCACTCGTGTAAACTAAATGTTCAACCAAATCTCTTTATTTTCTTCTTTCAACGACACATCTTTTTCTCAACACCCGCAAGTTCTGATGACAATATCCCTCAAAAGAAAAAAACTTAACATAGTGTCATACCTTTTTAAAATCAAATACACACGTGCCCCTTCCAGTGCAACATGCAATATTGGTGAACAAACAAACACAAAAAAAAAAAAAAAAAACTAATATATATATATTTAATTTTCTCCCCTTATTCAGTGAAACACTCACAAAACGTGTACACTCTAAACTCTGTGTAGACAACTCAAAAAGATATCACTGCAAATGTGTACCACCACACTAAATATGCATCAGTGTCGTTGAAAGAAGAAAATAAAGAGACTTGGTTGAACATTTAGTTTACACGAGTGGGGATTTGTTTTGGACACTTGATGTGGTTTTGTTAAAGAAAAGTTTTTATACCAAGCCACATGGCCTCAACATGGGGAGGGTACATTGCTTTGTTCCCAATTTGATGACATACTGCACCTGGTGGGAGAGGGCTTAACAGAATCATAAAAGCTCCCTTAAAAATAAGGGATCCCTCAGATAACAATCCTTGCTACGTGAATGAATAAGGTGTACACTGTACCCCTGGTTACTCCTTCACAACAAAAAAAGTAAACACACTGACACATTTGTTTGTCATTTAATAAAAAAAACAAAGTTCCAAAATGTAAATCCATTGTCAATCATGCTGAACACCATCAGCTGACTTGCCAAAACAAAAATGGCAATCCGCTGACATGATCTGCTTCCAATAGAGGATCCTCAGCTGGCAGCTTGATTCTAAACAAAGGGGTGGGGATGTCATGACCATATTTCTTCAATAATGTCAGCCAGCATTCACCCCAAATCGTTTACGTTCAGCTGCTGACCAGGAGGTAAATAGGGGTGCTGGCTTCCTAGCAAAACAGGAAGCTGCCACATTTAGCATCGGAAGTAAAGCACCCTATTTAGTTCATCCATTCGCACAACAGGCAAGGTTTGGACTGAACTTTACACTGGTTCAAACCATGAAGCTCGCTCCTACAAATAATGCCACATTTAAAAGGAATTTGCTGCAAAGCAGGCCGACTTGAAGAATGTTCACATCCAACACTGTCTTTCTGCATCATCCACTGCATGGTTCCTCCTGTCAGCTCCTAAGTCACCAGGACACGGGACTAAGCTCGAAATTAATTGCAGGAATTTCTGTTAGCTTCCTTTATCTATTAAAAACTGCTGTGGAGGGGGTTTTATACACTATGCCAGTACAACCAATGGGTTCAACATTTCTCTGTACCATATGAAAGTTACAAGAAATCTATTGTAAAGCATTTTGTATGTATGTGAATCAGATAAAAGATGCTGTTCTACAATCCTTGGGCTAATTATGTGGAGTAGAGAAAGTCATAAATAGGCAGCTTCCACCTAAGGCTGCTCAAACAGGCACTGGGTAAGTGACTTAAAAAATATGAAGCTATTTTAGAATGACACTTAGTCAGCTAGAAGAAAGGGAAGTCAGCAAATGGAAACTGCTATTCTTTCTCAGTAGAGGTTTGCTGCAAGACGTTTTCTGATTACTGTGTGCACATTTGTTGCCCACAATCATCTGTTGACCCCCCCCCCTTTTCCTCCTCACAAAGCCAAAGTGCAAATGAAGTGAAGAAAAAGAAAAAGAACATAATATCTTTAAGAATAATAAGTTACAATACCTGCTAAGACTGATACGTGTATATAGTTCCAGACCTTTGCTGAAGTACTTGTGCTGAGTGTTCAGACATGGTAAAGATGCTGCACAGGTTCCATGTTTTTGCCATTCATGTTTCCTAAACAGGAGAAAAATAATCATAGTAACAATCCCAACTTCCCAAATCTCTGTACATAAAAAGACAAAAATAGGTTTCCCATATAATGCAGTAGCATGGTTTTTATATTACACAAAATTGCAACTGATCTACCTGTGCTGAACAGTAAGAAACATTCTCCCCCATAACCCTTCTGAATTACTTTTACTTATGTTCTAAGGTCAAGTTCACATCTGAACAGGTGCAGGAAAGTGTATAAATCGCACATCTTCCCAAACCTGCAGAGAAAAATGAGCTGCTGCTTAATAGAGGCATGGGGTACCATTAATCCTAATTGTACCCCCATGCACTGGAAACTGCAGCGTGGTTTCCCACACTGGGAAACACACTGTACCATGCCGTTTCCCTGAGTCTTTGGCAGATACAGCAGCCAATTCAATGCATGGGCACGGTAAAATAAACGTACCAGAGTTTGAATGTCCTCCCTTCCCACCCCCTTCTACACTGCTTTAAAATAAGTGTTCCCAAGCATACTTACATCATCAAGACCATGATCCCTTCTTCTGTGCTCATTGACCCATTATGGAGTGTTCTGTGCTCAGGTAAGGCACAAACTGTTCTGGACCACAAGTGAAACCTGCTCAGGGCCACTTCTTCCAGGTTGTCCCCGCTTACCTATGCCTGGGCACAGTTCACTCATACTACATAAACGAATGGGACCAAGGGGATGAACCATGCTTAGGCACCCTTAGTCACCCCTGAAAACAAAATCAGTAATAAACATATACATCATTCACTCCTTAATTATATTAATAATTGTTTACCAGAGTTGAGAACAGTTTGGATGGAGAACATCAGGCCAATACTTGTTCAATTCTGCCAAAATGTCCTGCAAGAAAAGACTTCATCTGAGTTCTTATCGATATAAAATGATACAATACAATACAAACTCACACATACACATGTATTTTTGTATTAAACTAATCCAGATTAGCAGTGTGAAGAGTAGGTACAAGCCATGTAGTACACTTTTTAGAACTAGACTTCAGTTTTTATACACCTTAGTGAATTATGAATTTGGGGTTGGTGCATTTGACATTTTGCATTTTGTCATACTAAATAAGGCAGAATGAGTATCAGACGTGGGATGGGGCTTTGTAAATGACATTTGACATTAACAAAAAAGTGTTTCAGTTATGTTTTAGTCATAAACTGTCTGGTATAAGGAAAGCTGTCTTTTATGTGGCAAGTTCAGCAGTCTAAGAAATAAAATATAGTTATGTAAAACCTCACATTTGTGGGTATAGTGAGAAATCCATACTTATGTGTAATATTTTACATAATCTACCTAGTAATAGCAAAACTAAAAGAACGTTGTTCAATTTATAACTGTCTGAACACAGAATGGATGACATTTGCAAATTCAAGCAGAGCAGACAGGGTGGGGAATTTATCAAAATTGGAGCAGACAGAATCTGGAGCAGCTGTGCATGCCAACCAATCCGCTTCAGCTAGTTCAGTAAATGAAAAATTGTTTTTGATTGGTTGTCATGCACAGCTGCTCCAGTTTTGATAAATACTACCCATTTGTACAAGCAAGATTAATGTGTATATTGTGGAGAAAGTTTCTTCTTAACTTTGTACAGTAAAGTAGTATGCTATTTCACTGAAACAAGTCAGAGATAGAAACCACAAAGTCAGTATTTTATATCTTAATGCGATTCTAAAAGTTAATTTTTTTTTTTGGGGGGGGGGGGAAAAAAAAACATGTTATACTTGCCTATTGTGTGCAGTGGTTTTGCACAGAGCAGCCTGGATCCTCCTCTTCTTGGGTCCCCCGAAGGAGTTCCTGGCCCCTCCCTCCTGTTGGGTGCCCCCACAGTAGGCAGCTTGCTATGCGTGTGTCCATTCACACATGGAGCTGTGGCTTTGCTCTGCCCTCGCTCTCTCCTCATTGGCTAACTGGCTGTGATAGCAAGCTGGAGCCATTGGCTCTCACAGCTGTCAGTCTCAGCCAATGAGGAAGCAGAGACCCCAGGCAGCCGAGGCTATTGTTCACATCGCTGGATCACGATGAGGCTCAGGTAAGTATTGAGGGGGTTGGGGGCACTGCTGTACACAGAAGGTTTTTTGCCTTCATGCATGGAATGCATGAAGGTAAAAAACCTTGAGCCTTTACAACCACTTTAAAGAGTATTCTTCAGGGAAAAGTAAATATGTAAACTAAAAAAAAAAATAATTTTACCACACGCACACGGTAAAATAAGTATTTAACACATCACCATTGGTCTTAGTAAATATATTTATAAAGGTGCTATTGACATGAAATTTTCACCACGCGTCGGTAACAACCCATGCAATCCATACATACAAAGAAACCAAAACAAATAAGTTCAGAAATTAAGTTATGTGTAATAAAATGGAATGTAAACTACCAAGTCTTATATACAGACTATTCTTAGTTGGCAATTCTAACAACTCACTTTACGAGGGTGCACAACCCTACGCACCAGATAGCCAATTCATTAAAAATGTAACCTTTATGATTATTATAAAAGTATGTTCCTAACTGTAAATATTAGATATTTATAAAAGAGAGAACAAGGAGTGCATTATTGAACAAATATTTCTTTTTTGTGCAATTTCCATAAACTCATATTTCTCTCATCCAACATAATATCTGCAATGTGCCAAATATTCATCTCAATACACACCACCCCTATATATAGATGAAACTATGAACAAATGTTGTTAGACCACATACCTGTAGGGTACGATGTATAATATATTTTGTCAAACACCCGCCACATTTACCGGTGCCTCGCGGAAAGGTCCTGATTGCTATTTGCGGTTGGGAGCTTTCCGATCATGTGTCTGGCATGACAGCTAATCACGGCTGTCACAGGACCCTAAACCCTAAACGCTTCCTGGTGTCACAAACCCCTTACAGGCTTGGGAGGCACTGGCGCCAATGGGTTAAAGATACCTATAAACTGGTGCATGGATTCATGAAAGAGAGAAGTTGTCAAACAAATCTGATTTCTTTTTATGAGGGGGTGAGCAAAACCTTGGACAGAGGGGTGGCGGTGGACGTGGTATACTTGGATTTTGCAAAAGTGTTTGACACAGTTCCCCACACACGGCTAATGTGTAAGGTAAAGTCTACGGGCTTGGAAAAATCTGTATGTAAATGGATAGAAAACTAGCCTAAAGAGCGTATTCAAAGAGTAGTGGTTAATGATTCATACTCTGAATGGTCTAGGGTTGTCAGTGGTGTACCCCAAGGTTCAATGTTGGGACCCTTACATTTTAATATATTTATAAACGATATAGGGTCTGAGATTGAAAGTCCCATTTCAGTCTTTGCAGATGACACCAAGCTGTGCAGTGGAATAACGTCCTTACAGGATGTCTTCAATTTACAAGCCGACCTCAATGCACTGTTTAATTGGGCAACTATGTGGCAAATGAGGTTTAATGTTGATAAATGTAAGGTTATGCACTTGGGGACTAAGAATATGCATGCATCATACATACTAGGGGGTACAACTAGGGGAATCAATGATCAAGAAGGATCTGGGAGTTCTGGTAGATCACAAGCTTAATAATGGCATGCAATGCCAAGCTGCGGTTTCTAAAGAGAGCAAAATCCTCTATTGTATTAAAAGAGGTATAGACTCCAGAGAGAGAGATATCATATTACCCCTGTACAAATCATTAGTAAGACCTCATCTGGAATATGCAGTTCAGTTTTGGGCACCAATTCACAAAAAGAACATTGGGGAACTGGAGAAAGTACAGAGAAGGACAACTAAACTGATAAGAGCATGGAGGAGATCAGCTATGAGGAAAGATTAGAGGGACTGAATTTATTCTCTCTTGAGAAGAGGAGATTAAGGGGGGATATAATCAACATGTATAAATACATCAGTGGTTCATATAATGAACTCGGTGTAGAGCTATTCACCCTGAGGTCATCACAGAGGACAAGGGGGTACTCTTTACGTCTAGAGGAAAAGAAATTTAATCTCCAAACACGAAAAGGTTTCTTCACAGTGAGAGCTGTGAAAATGTGGAATAGACTCCCTCAAGAGTTGGTTCTGGCCAGCTCAGTGGATTGCTTCAAAAAAAGCCTGGATTGTTTCTTAGATACACAGAATATAACTGGATACTAATATTTATAGGTAAAGTTGATCCAGGGAATATTGCCTCTCAGAGGATCAGGAAAGAATTTTTTTCCTAGCAGGAGCAAATTGGATCATGCTTTGCTGGGGGTTTTTTTTGCCTTCCTCTGGATCAACTGTGGGTATAGGACTATAACTTTTTTTTTTTTCTATGGTTGAACTGGATGGACTTTTTTTTTCAGCCAGACTAACTCTGTAACTATGTAACTATGTACCTGTGTTTAGAGAAAATAACATTCTGTACAATCAGCTTATGATTAGAAACTTGAAACGCAGCTAAATGCATGTAAATATGGCTGAACTACTTTTAATGCAGTAAAAAATGATCTGGGAAATAAAAAAGTTGTTTATATTTTTCAGATAACTACTCCTGCGTTTAGAAAAGTTGGGTGCAGGAGTGTCAACGTGAATAGGGCCTAAGGGGTCATATGTAAAACAATATAATGAATAAAAAGCTCCAGCAAATGGTATCCAAGATGCGTGCAGTTTTAGCGTTACTCTTGGACAAGCTTTGGCCTCTGGGACAAGCGATTTTGATTGCTTTTAATTCTCTAAAAGTTCAAATAGCAACTGCACATCCAGGTGTTTGTAAATGCCATGAATGATGGCATGCCAGAACAAGATGCAAAGTTACCATTAATCCAAATAAATGCATTTCATATGTTTATTGTGAAGACAGCATCACATAAAGCAAAAGAAATTGGCGTGGTCTTTATGACAAACACAAGAAATGCATTTATTTGGACTTTGCATTTACTTAAACTACTGTGGCTATTAAGACCATTTACACTTTTGGAAATTTTATTTTTGCACCTTTAGCACATTTTCTCTGATTATTCCAATGCTTAAAGTGGTTGTAAAGCGCCAAGGCTTTTTACCTTCATGCATTCTATGCATGAAGGTAAAAAACCTTCTGTGTGCAGCAGTGTCCCCAGCCCCCTCAATCTTTACCTGAGCCTCATCACGATTCAGTGATGTGAACGACGTCCCAGGTCTCTGCCTCCTCACTGGCTGAGACAGTTGCCATTGGCTTCTGCTGCTGTCAATCACAGCCAGTCAGCCAATGAGGAGAGAGAATGGACATATGGAGCAGCGGGTTCCCCTATAGCAAGCTGCTTGCTATGGGGCACCTGACAGGAGGGTGGGGCCAGGAGAGCCTGCGGGGGATCCGAGAAGAGGAGGATCTAGGCTTCTCTGTGGAAAAGCACTGCGCACAGCAGGTAAGTATAGCATGATTGTTACCCCCCCCCCCCCCCAAAAAAAAATTAACCTTTAGAATTGCTTTAAGGTGCAATCCTACATTTATATAAAACCAACAGTACTGCACATTGTAAGCTTCCCACACTGAGCACTGGAAGCTGCAGCAAGTCAAAGACTCACCAGCCTTACTGTCCCAGGCCTGCCTCCTTCACTCATTGGATTTCAGATCTTTTGATCACGGAGGCTAGGCATCATATGTGCTGCACAGTTCATATTGTAATTGAATGTTATTGAAAAGGACTTTTCCTTTTCAATCTGCAGCACTGTAACTTTCTGTAAAATGCAATGCAATATGGGAACCCAGAGGATTTCTGTACACAGATGGTGTACAGAACACCCCCAAAAATGTAATTTCCTGCTTGTGAGATTGGTTTATGGATTTTCCCAGAAGTCTGCACTAAGATACAAGTCAGATTTTGGACATCCCCTGCAATATAAATGTCATTTTTGGTGAGATACTCCCAATAGGAAAACATGTCTAAAAAGGATGCAGACCCTGCCACTCATTTCCTCATTAGATTCCTGCAAATGAAGCAGCTGATTGATACTTATAAAATCTATAAAATCACTCCCATAGACATTTATTTTGCACATGTACACAGACAATCAAATAGCTATTTTTTCAGAATAAAAAAAAAAAGTAGGAATCTGCAACAAAGTTTGCTAATGTCCAGCAAATATTTCACACCACAGAAGAACTTATAGGTTCAATAACTGCTGTATATTGGGGTATAGAACAGTAGCTTCATCTTAATGCTATGGCTTATATCTCATTAGAATGAATGAGGCCATCTATTTATAGAAGTCTTTACCTGCAATGGGCAAACTCTATGAAATCTAAGGTTGTATCTCCTGACTCTGCTGGAACCTGTGTAATGCAATGAAGCTAAGAAACAATAACACAAGTCAGCAACCGGGCTCATTCAAAAAGAGTCAGAATAATCGGATAAAGTATAACAGGAGAGATTTACTAAGGTTCACACCTATGCAGGTTGCATTTGAGCCGTTTCTGCACTTGCGTTTTTGATGCATTTTGCTTATTTTTTCTTCTTGCTAGGCAGATTTAAAAATGCAGCAAAAACGCAATACATGCTTTTCTGCAGCATTTCCATTGCAGTCTATAGAACCAAAAATGCAACTTTTTGCATTAAAAAAAGTCTCTGACCCTTTCCAAAAAAACGCACTGGGTGAAAACGAGCAGATGTGACCATGTCCCATAGGAAATTATGCTAAATGGACTGTACTGCGTTTCTACAAAAAGCTGCAGAAAACGCTTAGGTGTGAACCTAGGATAAAGCAGAATCTGGTGCAGCTGTGCATGGTAGCCAATCAGCTTCTAACTTCAGATTGTTCAATTAAGCTTTTCCAATTAGACCTGGTTTATGCCTATAGATTGTTTGGTGCTTTTTGCAGAAACGTACTACAGTCCATTTAACATGGTTTCCCCTATGGGACATGTTACTGTGTGTTTTTAAAAAGGGTCAGGGACTTTTTTTTAAATGCAAAACTGTGTTTTTTGTTTAGTATACTTCAATGGAGATGCTGCAGAAAAGAACAGTTTTGCATTTTTAATCTGCCCAACAACAAACTGGTCCCCCAAAAAAAGCATTAAAAAAATGTATGAAAAAACGCATCAAAACTTGTGTGCAAAAAACCACAAACTGCACAGCTTAAAGCACTGCAGAAACAGATCAAAAACCAAACTGCACATGTGTGAACCAAGCCTTCAACTCATAAGCTGATTGGTTACTATGCACAGCTGCACCAGATTTTGTAGGCACCAGTTTTGATAAATCTACCCCTATGTGTCTAAACTGAGCTCTCAAGAATCTACTTATATATTAGATCAATATAAATGATAAAGGTTAAGAATTTATCCAAACAAAATAAAATATTGCAGATCTATCTCTTACAGCATACCACTTTAATGACGTAACAATTAAAACTCTGTGTGTTTACCTTTATTTCAGAGTAATCAAAGGGCCAGGATTTATTGCACATTTGTGACTTATCAGTCCTAAAAAAAAACAAAGTTGAAAAATATAATGGCTAGATAAATACTATACAAACTAAAGAGACCATTTTAAAGAATGGACATAGGTGTGTGATTTTAAAGGCATACAAAAGCTAAATAAAGCCCCCAAACTGGTTATTATGTTACAAATTTAACCACTTAAATTCCCACATCATTATGGACCAGAGCAATTTTTAAGTTTTCGCCATGAGCCTTGATTGGGCAATAACTTTTTTATTATTGAAGTAACACATATGCAGGCCATACATGGGTCGAATTCCAAACAATTTTTTTTTTAGGAAATTGGAAATTTAATGTGTTTAGTAATCTGATGGTGTAACCATTGATTTCGAAATTCAACCAACCAAGCCTTCAATTTCACCTCATTTTGCTACAGAAAAGAATTTTTGTGGCCAAGACATTTCTTTTCATTCCAGATCACAGCTCATGCTCATTTCTTTTTCGTTTATATTCCCCACACGATTCTCCCTTCATTGATTTGAAATTCGTTCGGTTTTCAAAACATTTCCAACATGCCCGATCACTCAAATTCGATGGTCGCATGAAAATCGGCTGTTTCTGTGACCCACTAATGGTGCGAAATTCGAACGATAATTCTTAGAAAATTTTTGAAATTTTTGGAATTTGACCCATGTATGGCCTGTTATACTGTATGTATATTTTTTTTTCTATTCAATCTAAAGGCAAATTATTTTTTTTTTAGTTTGGGTGTTTCTTATTTCATATGATGCTACAAAAACAAACACTGATTAGGGTTAAAAAAAAAAGGGTTAAACAAGAACAATTTTAATACAAATTTCCTTGGCTTGTGAGGTTGCTTTAACTCAGTGTTTCTCAACTCCAGTCCTCATGGACCCCCAACAGGTCATGTTACTGAAGGTATGAATTGCATATAAGCAACAAATCTAAATACAATGTTTTTTTCAAAGAAACTGGCAAACATTGGCACGGTTTTCAGCACAGACCAGGAGGGTCCCCAGTGATTAGGCCAAGTACAGAGGCCATGATAAGTTACACCCAAAGTTTTTACATTTTTATGTTTACCTCATATGCCCAAAAGCCATGTCACACCTAAATGGACAGCTACAACAGCGGTTTACGGTTTACTGTGAAACCTGTCCATTGGGCTGCAGTGAGCCAGCGGTGTAGTGTGCGATTTTTTTCGACTGATCTTAACACTTCATTTGTGTCACTGTACAGCAGCGCTCCTGTGATCTTGTCCAGTGTGCTGTGATAAAATACAGAATGTCTTCATTTTGTCTTCATTTTATCACAGATCACTACAATGCAGCTCTAGGATGGGTTTCAATGTGTACAAGACACAGAGAAAACAATTGTGTTCTGTGTCCAAGTGGTGACGGGCTTTCTTCGAGTGCGGAAAAAAACATTGGGTACAGCATTATTGTGAATTGGTCCCTAGATCTGCAAGTTAAAGGTGAGATCCTTTACAGGTTTCCTGATGTATTCACAGCTGGACAAGCCACTACAGCAATTAAGGTCAACTATAGTTTTTAGCAAACTTCATTTAAGGGCTTTTCAGGCCCATTCTCATTTTGTCATTGTAGGCTGCACATACAAAGTGTCTTATGTAGTGTTGAAAATGTTTTTTCTTGTTTGTCAGTGATACATACACTCACCAGCCACTTTATTAGGTACACCTGTTCAAGTGCTTGGTAACACAAATTGCTCATCAGCCAATCACAAGGCAGCAACTCAATGCATTTAGGCATCTAGATGTGAAGACAAATTGCTGAAGTTCAACCCGAGCTTCAGAATGGGGAAGAAAGGGGATTCATGTGACTTTGCAAATGGCATGGTTGTTGGTTATAGACAGGGTGGTCTGAGTATTTCAAAAATTTCTGAACTACTGAGATTTTCATGCACTGCCATCTCTAGGGTTTAAAGAGAATTGTCTGAAAAAAGAGAAAATATCCAGTGAGAGGCAGTTGTGTGGATGAAAATGCCTTGATGATGTCAGAGGAGAATGGGCAGACTGGTTCGAGATGACAGAAAGGCAATAGTAACTCATGTCAATATGGACCAAAATCTCTAAATGTTTCCAACACAATTTTGAATCTTTGCCATTAAAAATTAAGGCAAAAGGGAGTCCAACCCAGTACTAGCAAGGTGTACCTAATACAGTGGCCATTGAGTGTAAATGATAGATAGTAATGAAACATATTTTTTAGTGTTACCACAATCCATGTAAAGTCCAGTAGTTTGGAATCCCTTCACATTTTTGTTCAGCCATCTGAAACAAAATGGAAACGCCAAAACAGATAGTGAGGAAATTAATTAGGTTAGAGTGCACATCGGTAATCAGGCAAGATGGGCCTTGACATGGGCCTTAAAAAAACAAAGGCCAAAAATGAATATAAAAAAAAAAATGCGCACACATGTGTTATGAGCTGTACCAATTATTAAAGCAGGGCTAAAAATTTCAAGTCCTGAGCTACTAGCCAGGCCTTAAGAGTTACTCGCCACCAGTACCCGTACCCTGCCCCGTCTCTAATGCCGCCCCTAAACACGCCCTCGTAAATTATCTCATGAAATGACACTGTTAATATTTATTTTACCTTTATTTTGCATAAAACAATTAACAACCACATTAACAATATTGACACAAAGTAATGTAAACATAAAAGGAAAATAAATGCTTTCCATCAATAGGGAAACAAAATGATGCACAGTGCGGAGGTCAGCGGTGTGACACATAGTGAAGGGAGAGAAGTACGGACTGTAGGGAGGAAGGAAAGAATGAAGGAGAGGGATGGTTAGGAGGGTTAGGAAGGGAAGAGGGGAAGGAGAGAAGGGAGGAGGAAGGAGGAAGGAAAGAGAAGGGAGGAAAGGAAGGAGAGAAGGGAGGGAAAGGAAGGAGAGAAGGGAGGAAAGGAAGGAAAAGAAGGGAAAGGAAAGGAAGGAAAAGAAGGGAAAGGAAGGGAAGGAAGGGAAGAGGGAGAAGAGAAGGAAAGGGAAGGTAGGAAAGTAAGGGGAGAGAAGGAAGGAAGTAAGGGGAGAGAAGGAAGGAAGAAAGGGGAGAGGAAGAAGGAAGAAAAGAAGAAGGGAAGATAGGGAAGGAAGGAAGGTCAGACTCGTGTGGCTCTGTTATTGCAGGGCTGCAGGCTGCTCTGTATAATATTTCCTGCCCACACATCCTCTTCTTAGAAGCTGCATGGACTGGAGTGTGGGTGGGAACAGAGGGAAGGCAGAGCAGTGTAGAGGATAGGGGAAGGGGCTGGGCACTGAGGAGCACACAGGGGCGGCCTGGAAATAAACAGAAGGATCAGGGTTGATCGGTGCAGCGGTGGGGGCAGTTACAAGCAGTGATCTCCCTGTATGGCTTTGAATGAAGCACCTGGAAGTCAATTCTCTTCCTCTCCCCCCGGCTTTCAGCTCCTTCACTGAAAGCCATACAGGGAGATTGCTGCTTGTAACTGCCCCCACCGCTGTCCCTCCCATTCCCGACATTGCTCGCCTGCACGTAATTTCCACTCACCCAATGCAATCGGAAATTTTGAGGGCTGATTAAAGCATTACGGATTTTAAAAATTGTATTGTAGTTTTTTGCTGTTTCACAAGCATACACAATTTTCAGACAAAATCTATGTGGTATTTATTAATTCCACACAGTGTCATATTTTATATTTAGATAAACATTTGGGGATTATATTGTATTTGTATTTTATACTTTACCTTTTGGGTAAAGATAACCTCCTGCCCTGCTCACTTTTCTCAGACCACCCATTGCAATAAGACCCTCTTGTTACTAAAACCAGGGGACTTACACCAGAAGATCAGAGTTACAAATAATTTTATTGAGTTACTTCCCTCAATATTTCTGTATGTGGCTAATCAAATTTTTCTTTCCTTTTTTCCCCTAAAATAGTTACATGTAATAATAGACTAAGGAAATGTTCTACAAAATGTTATACAGCTTATCAGTCCTTAGAGGAAGTGACTACATTAGTTTTATTTTTTTTAGGCTTCTTCACTTATTATCATTTTCCAATACTTAGAATAACACACTTCCCTACTTAGGTGGTTACGCTCACTCCTTCAGGGCTCGTTCTTACGAGCTGGATTGAGCTGTGTTGATCTGCACTGATCAATGCAAGAGCACACAGAAATTAATTGTTCTCTGTTTGACCTATTCAAACCATATACACTATATTGCCAAAAGTATTGGGACGCTTGCCATTCCACGCACATGAACTTTAATGGCATCCCAGTCTTAGTCCGTAAGGTTCAATATTGAGTTGGCCCACCTTTTGCAGCTATAACAGTTTCAACTCTTCTGGGAAGGCTGTCCACAAGGTTTAGGAGTGTGACTATAGGAATATTTGACCATTCTTTCAGAAGCGCATTTGTGAGGTCAGGCACTGATGTTGGATGAGAAAGTCTGGCTCGCAGTCTCCACTCCACTTCATCCCAAAGCTGTTCTGCCGGGTTGAGGTGCAGGCTAGTCAAGTTCCTCCAACCCAAACTTGCTCATCCATGTCTTTATGGATCTTGCTTTGTGCATGGTTCCCTTCACTGGAACTAAGGGGCCAAACCCAACCATTGGAAAGCAACCCCACACCATAATCCCCCTTCACCAAACTTTACAATTGGCTCAATGCAGTCAGGCAAGTACCGATCTCCTGGCAACCGCCAAACCCAGACACATTCATCGAATTGCCAGACAGAGAAATGTGATTTTTCACTCTAGAGAACACGTCTCCACTGCTCTAGAGTCCAGTGGAGGCACGCTCTACACTGCTGCATCTGCCGCTTTGCATTGCACTTGGTGATGTAAAGCTTGGATGCAGCTGCTCGGCCATGGAAACCCATTCCATAAAGCTCTCTATGCCCAGTTGTGCTAATCTGAAGGCCACACGAAGTTTGGAGGTCTTCAGCTATTGACTCTGCAGACAGCTGGTGACTTCTGCGCACTGTGCGCTTCAGCATACGCTGACTCCACTCCGTCATTTTACATGGTCTACCACTTTGTAGCTGAGTTGCTGTTGTTCCCAGTTGCTTCCACTTTGTTATAACATTACTAACAGTTGACCGTGAAATATTTAGTAGCAAGGAAATTTCACAGATGGACTTATTGCACAGGTGGCAACCTATCACAGTACCACGCTTGAATTCACTGAGCTCCTGAGAGCGACCCATTCTTTCAAAAATGTGCATTGGTGTGTGTTTTTATGCAGCGCAACACATATCAAAGCATGCTGTTAACTTTGAATAAAGATGCAAAAAAAACCCCAAAACTTACAAGTACACACTGATGCATTGTAACAGTGCATAGTTCTAACTCTGCACACTGCACACCAGCGGAAGCTACTGTGAAGGGGCCCTTAAGCCAGCCATAGATGGATTGAATCTCGGTTACTTCAGTAGTGACCTGCTGAGATTCGATCCATCTATGGGCAGGCTGATTGTACTGAAGTTAATCCATTGATCAATTTCAGTACAACCAGCCCATCAGATTTTTTGCATGTTATCACTGTTGGCGACGGTAGTCGCCAGCAGTAATCATTGAGTTCTGTCGGCAGGGAAGCCTCCCCGCCAGCAGAACACAGTAGTGCTGCGGGAGGGAGTCCTCCGCGGGTGTCAACAGAAAGTTAACGACACCCCAAACACAGGTCACAAATGCAGTGCATTTTCTTGCACCGAATTGCATGGTACTTTTGTACCATGCAATCTAGTTGCAGTGTGTTTAGAAAGTAGTGAATGCACTACTTTTGGTGCAGTGTAAATTTAGGGCCAATTCACACCAGGCTCGTACATGAATGGCACAGGAACACGTGCGTTCCTTTGCGATTCACATGTGGTGCAACTTCAGCCGATTCATTTTGAATGAGCTAAAATCACACCACACTAAAAGTAGTGCATGCACTAGATTTTAAAATGCATTGCAACCAGATCGCATGGTACAAAAGTACTATGCAATCTGGTGCGGGCATGTGCAACGCACTGTTTTTGCGACCAGAGTTTGGGGTGTCATTACATTTCTATTGACTCCCGCTGCAGATCGCAAAAGTAGTGCGTTTTGCATGTGTTCTGAATTGCACAGGAACGCACAGCATGTTCCTGTGTGATTCATTTACTTTGTTTCATGTACATCATAAATGTAAAACAAAAGCTAAAAAAAAAAAAAAGAAAGACAGGTGAAAGTTTGTAGGTTGCTAAATAAGATATCTCACCTTGCACACTGTAACTGGCCAATGATGAGTCAAAATAAGTTTTTTCCATTCTGGAGTATTTCTAAAACAAAATATAGTATTGTTTACAATTTAAAATATATTGCATTTCATGCATTATAGAATGTATTTTGAGATCACTCAAAAATAGGCTCAACAGTATTTCTGCAAATGCGCCCCCACAATCACCTAATATTTAGTATAAAAACAAATTGTGCAAAACCAATAAAAGTCCAAGTTAACATGTCTAGTGAAGTCCAAGTATAACACCCATGAGCTTCATCTTGCAGCAGTGATCTTCATGTGCAAGCCCATCATAGGTGCTACTAAGTTAGATTAATGAGTGGAGTAGAGGTGGACTTTTTAAAGGCACAATAACAGGTCTTTGAGAGCCAGAATTCTTGCTGTTTCTTAGGTGTTCAAATACTTGTATTCAGCAGTGCAAGACAAATAAATTCTTTAAAAATCATACAATGTGATTTCCTGAATTTTTTTTTAATTCTGTCTCTCAGAGTGGGAATGCACCTACAATTTGAATTTCAGACCCCTCCATGATTTCTAAGTGGGAGAACTTGCAAAATCGCAGGGTGTTCAAATACTTCTGTTTCTCACTGTAAATTGGAGGACTTAAATATTAATTTGACTCTGACGCTAATTTCCTTTCTCCTGGACCCAGAAAAGATTAAAATATTTGGGAATATACTGGTACCTTACTTCCTCCTTGTCTGAGATATTCAAGGAAAATTTTCTTCCTCGTTTAGCATCAACCAGACCTGATTTAAAATCGATGGTATAAGCAAACATTTACTTGGTTTGGTCGCAACAGTGTACTGAAAATGACAGTCCTGCCTAGACTTCTATACCTTTTACAAACCCTGGCGGTGGCAATCCCCTGACCAAGGCGGAATTCTTGAACCTCCTATGAGGTCATAAAACGAAATGCAATTCCTACCAGTTTCTTGCTCTACCCAAGGAGCAGGGGAGTATGGGATTCCCAGATCCATTTAAATATTTCTACACAGTTCATATTCTTGTACTTTAGACTGGACCAAAAATAGTTCGGACAAGGAATGTATGGACCTGGAGAAATTCATGTCACTGCTCCCCTTACAGACGCTCTCATGGCAAACTGTGCCTCTTCTGTCAGAGGTTAAAATGCACCCTATCATAGGGACTAAAGTGGTGATCCTGATCAAAGTGGGCTGCCTAAGCTCCCTGATCATAGTATAGCTCAAGAATTCACCACAGGATTGGAGGACACAAGATTCCAAGCCTTTCTGTCATCCAATCAATTCTGTGTCCAAAACGTTTTGACAGGTAGCATATGGCAATCCATTTCTGAGATCCAAGCGTTGTTCTTCTCCCCTTTGGATTCATGGCAGAGGACTGTCTCTATATTCTGACCTCTTCTAGAAAATCCGCTCTAGTGGCCCAAACCTGGATGGTCTAGATGCCAGCAAATGCACCAGGGTTGGGAGACTAAGAAAATGTGTGCTACATGGTTGTAATTTTATATCCTATGTAACCCGTATCCTGATGCTCTTGAGTACTGTACAACAGGACACAGTTTTGTTGGACATGGTTCTTTTCACTGCTTTTTTTTTGTGTTCCTAAAGCTTGCTGTTGTTCCACCATGTACATTTGTAGCATGTACTGTGCCAATGAGCGAAATAAAGAAAAAACCAAAAAAAAAAAAACCACAAGCCTTACATAAAAGCCACTGCTCACCAGAAGACACCAGCCAAAAATGACAGTGTTCAAAAAGGCTCCACCAAACATGTTTCATCCAATGAGAAGTCTTCCAGGGTGGGCCCCTTATGATACAGTGGGCACAGAAGAGAATCACCTTCTTTAAAATAATCACATTTTGTTGCTTTGCAGCCCGAAATGAAAACAGACAGTTATATTTACTCAATGCAACTTAAAACATCCAAGTGAAAGATATACCACCAACACGTCACAAAAAATAAAACAAATTCAGAATCCCTGAGTTGGAAAAAGGATCACCCCCTCCTGTAAATGACTTACAACCCCAATCAGGTGTAGCTAATCACCTTCTCAATGGCACACAAAGCCATTTGACTTTCAACTGTGATCAGATATGGTCATTTTGATGAGCTTAGCATGAAAAGTGCTTTCCTGGAGTATTTCAGTCCCTGGTAGTGCAACTGAAGCAAACAATCAACTATGGTTTGCGAAGCACTGTCAAAATATCTACAGGATAAAGTTGTGAACAGGCACAAGTCAGGAGATGGATACAAAACATTTCAAAGGCTTCATCAATGCCTAGAAGCACAGTGAAGTCTATTATTAAAAAGCGGAAAAGTATTTGGTTCAACACAGACCCTCCCTGGATCAGGAAATCACTTCAAACTGGATGAAAGAGCCAGGAGGAAACTGGTCAGAGAGGCTACCAAGAGGCCTACAGCAACTCTGAAGCAGTTGCAGGAATTAATGACAAAGAGTGGTCATTGTGTGCATGTCACAATATCACAAATTCTCCACAATTGTGGCTTGTACGGGAGGGATGCAATAAAAAAGCCACTACTAACTGAGCTTTGCTAAAATGCACCTTGATGATTCTGAGGCCACAAAACAGAAAAAGTTGTTATGGTCAGATGAGACTAAAAATTGAATTATTTGGCCTCAACACTAAACAAAATGTCTGGCGGAAATCCAATATAGCTCACCATACAAATAACACCATTCCTACAGTAAAGCATGGAGGTGGTCGATATCCTGTTATGGAGGTATTTCTCTGCAGCAGGGACTGGAGCACTTGTCAGGGTAGAAGGAAAAAAGGATGGGGCAAAATGCCATCAAATTCTTGGGGAAAATCTGCCTCCCTCTGTCAGAAAGTTGTCAATGGGAAGAATGTTTACCTTTCAACATGACAATGACCCAAATAATACAACAAAAATGACCACACAATAGTTGAAGGAGAAAAAGGTGAATGTCCTTGCATGGCCAAGCCAGAGCCCAGACTTAAACCCCACTGAAAATATGTGGAATGACTTGAAGACTGCAGTCCACAAACGGTTACCATAAACTTTAACTGAACTTGAGCAGTGCTGCAAAGAAGAGTGGGCAAATATTACAATGCCTAGACTGTGCAAAGTTGATAGAGACACATCCCAATAGACTAAAGGCTGGAATAAAAGCAAAAGGTGGTTCAAGAAAATACTGACACAAGGGCATGATCCTTTTTCCCAACTCAGTGATTGTGTTTTTGATTTATTTTTTCTGACATGTTGGTGTTATAGCTTTCGCTTGAATGTTATAAGCTGCTTTAAGTAAATACAGATAAAACAAAAACAATGTCCATCTTCATTTTAGGCTGCAAAGCAATAAAATGTTATTGGTTTAAAAAGGGGGTGATTCTTTTCTTTAACCACTATATGTTATATTGGGGATGTCTGATACGGATGAGAGGATTGAGGGTGTCGTAGCCAAGATTTGCTGGCGCTTGCGAGATCTGCTTGTTAGACACTATTCGTTTATCTCTGTCCTAGCTTGTAAAGGGAGAGTAGAAGTACCTTGATAGAGCTACAGGCTAATACATGCTGAGTGCAATATATGTCTCTATGGTAAGCCTTCTAATTGCCAGAACATGAAGATAGCTGCTGCATGGTATTGAAGCACACAGGTGTTATACTTGGACTTCACTAGACAAGTTAGAGTAACTTTTATTAAGCTGGACATAGATGGATCAACTCTCGGCTGGTTTAGCAAAGACTGGCCGAGATTCGATCCATCTATGGGGAGGTTGGTTGTACTGAAGTCAATCCAGACTGTCAGGTTTTTTTTTGCATGGGACTACAGCTGGAAGCTATAGCTGTCAGCAGTAATCAATGTGTTCTGCTGACAGGAAGGGCTCCCTGCCAGCAGGACACAATGGTGCTGCAAGAGGGTATTCCCCCATCAACATTTACTGTGTTGATGGGGGCAATCAACAGATTTTCTTTCCTGCAACCACAGGTTGCATCATCTATTGCTTGCCTTAGTTTTGCATAATTTGATTTTATGATAACATTGTTTGTGTGGGAAGTACAGTGGCTAAATGGCTAGCACTTCCGTCTGGCAGCACTAGGGTTGTTGGTTCGAAAGCCAACTACGGCACCACCTGCCTAGAGTTTGCATGTTCTCCCTGCGCCTGCATGGGTTTCCTCCAGGTACTTTGGTTTCCTCCCACACTCCAAAGACGTGCTGGTAGGTTAATTGGATCATGTCTAAAATTGGCCCTATTATGTGTATATATGAATGTAAGATAGGGACTTTGGATTGTACGCCCCTTGAGGGTTAGGGACTGATGTGATAGTATATACAGTATATATATATATATATATTTTATGTAAAGCACTGCGTAAATTAAGTAATAAAAATAAACATTATATTTACTTTAAAAAAAATTACATTTGAATTGCACTAAAGGTTTATCATATCTTACTTTGTAGACAATGAGCTATCCATGAAGCTGCAGTGTATACCACACAGGCTGCAAGTGATCAACAAAATATAGCGAAGAGAGTTTTTCATGTTGCAAAATCTAAATTAAGAAGGAAATAAAAGGAAATAAACAGTAAGAAATAAAAATAATAATAATAAAAAAAAAAAAAGCAACAAAACTAAACCAATTAAACAAGTTTTTCTATGTTACTACTATAACAACAAAACTATTTTGAAAATTTGAATGATACATTTTGGTGGCTTTACTTTATTTTTCTTGCAAAAGATAATAATATTATGGAATCATTTGTTGCCATTGCTATACAGTACATGCAGTGCTTATATACAAAAGATATTTAAAATATATAATATCGTGCTCAAACCCCAAAACATCAGGAGTTCAGGTAGCAATGCATTAGTTTTAGGACCACAGCGAACAGTAGCAATTATTCTTTCAACCAAACAAAATGTAATGCCCGGAATAATTCTATAGAATGAAGGTTATATTTTAAAATCCTAACTCCCAACTTTGAAACTGACCACAAAGCTGTTGTAGATGTCTTCATGTTATGGCAAAAAACTCAAATTAGTCTTGAAGCTTGCAGATAATATGCAGAACACTATATTGCCAAAAGTATTGGGACGCCTGCCTTTACAAGCACCTGAACTTTAATGACATCCCGGTCTTAGTCCATAGGGTTCAATATTGAGTTGGCCCACCCTTTCAGCTCTAACAGCTTCAACTCTTCTGGGAAGGCTGTCCACAAGGTTTAGGAGTGTGTCTATGGGAATGTTTGACCATTCTTCCAGAAGCGCATTTGTGAGGTCAGGCACTGATGTCGGACGAGAGGACCTGGCTCGCAGTCTCCGCTCTAATTCATCCCAAAGGTGTTCTATTGGGTTGAGGTCAGGACTCTATGCAGGCCAGTCAAGTTCCTCCGCCCCAAACTCGCTCATCCATGTCTTTATGGACCTTGCTTTGTGCAGTCATGTTGGAACAGGAAGGAGTCATCCCCAAACTGTTCCCACAAAGTTGGGTGCATGAAATTGTTCAAAATGTCTTGGTATGCTGACACCTTAAGAGTTCCCTTCACTGGAACTATGGGGCCAAGTCCAAACATGAAAAACAACCCCACACCATAGTCCCCCCCTCCACCAAACTTTACACTTGGCACAAGGCAGTCAGGCAAGTACTGTCAACTGCCAAACCCAGACACTTTCATCAGATTGCCAGACACAGAAGTGTGATTCGTCACTCCAGAGCACACGTCTCCACTGCTCTAGAGTCCAGTGGCAGCATGCTTTACACCACTGCATCTGCGCTTTGCATTGTGATGTAAGGCTTGGATGCAGCTGCTCAGCTATGGAAACCCATTCCATGAAGTGCTCTACACACTGTTGTGCTAATCTGAAGGCCACACAAAGTTTGGAGGTCTTTGACTCTGTAGAGAGTTGGCAACTTCTGCGCACTGTGCGCTTCAGCATGACCTGACCCCACTATGTCATTTTACATGGCCTACCACTTCATGGCTGAGTTGCTGTTCCCACTTGCTTTTACATTGTTATAATACCACTAACAGTTGACCATGGAATATTTAGTAGCAAGAAAATGTCATGGAAGGACTTATTGCACAGGTAGCAACCTATCACTGTACCACGCTTGAATTCACTGAGCTCCTGAGAGCGACCCATTCTTTCACAAATGTTTGTAGAAGCAGTCTGCGTGCCTAGATCATTGATTTTATATACCTGTGGCTATGGAGGTGATTGGAACACCTGAATCCAATGATTTGGAGGGGTGTCCCAGTACTTTTGGCAATATAGTGTATTTTAACTGCAGTGAAATAACTAAAGTGACATGCCAGTCCTAGATTAAATGCACAAGCAGAAACACCCATGCATTACCCATTTGTAAGCAGAACTCGCAATGTCTTAAGCTGGGTATACATGTTCAGTTGTTTTTTTTTGTTCATCCAGAAGGTTGAAAGAAAAAAAAAAAAAAAAAAAAAACGAACAGATCCCCGCATCAACACAAGCAATGTGTACTGAAATTTACTTCTGAGGAACAAAAATTTGAAGCAATTAAAAAATTATATAAAAGGCCTTGGCATTGGCCAATGGTTTTGTTATTAACCCCCCCCCCCAAAAAAAAAAAACTTTTAAAAAATAACAAACACGTTAAACGTATCTGTCTGTGCAATGGATAACCTTACATTAAGATTTTTGCTAGCTGGAAATTATCTGGTATTGTTATCTTTCACTGAGACTTTTGTTAGCTGGAAGTTTTTTTCTCCCATATACTGATTGTCCCTTGGATTGGATATCATCTTTTAATAAAACGTACTACACTATCAGTATACTTTTGTTTTGTGGCTTCATTTATGAGCCATTTAAAGTGGAGTAGTATTTCCGGTGCAAATCGGTACAAAGTGGTAGTCGCCAAAGGAGCTATCCTTATGTCCCCCTGTGTGCTGGATTGGTTTGCTGTGAGGTTTGGAGTGCTGTCCGGTGTGTGTGTGCCATTGGAGCCCCCCTTCCCCAGGTTGTGATCAGATCCGTGATGAACACCAGGGTCCCCATTTTGGATATGATATTTAAGAGATGCGCATTTAACTTGCGCTTCTGGTAAGTGCAAGCATACTTCATTTCTTATTTCACAAGAAGTCTCCTGCACCGAATCCTGATGTTACTGGAATCCTTTATTTAACTCATCCATTCACAATTTCACTGGACTTTCATTTACAATATTTTATCCTATGTCAATATTAACTCATATTAAGATTCGTTTTGGTTATGAATTATTCACAATTATTTTGTCACCTTAATTACTAATGATATGTTCCTCCATTCACTTTTGCACTTGTCACCTTGTTGACATTGTTGTAATCCACCAATTTTACGCTAGTTTTATACTTGCGTGATATGCACATAGTCACTTTTTTTTAATAGCGCTGCATATATGTTTTTACAGTCTTTTTGAGTATTAAGGGGTTTATCCTTCTATGCAAGCAGCTGTTTTGCCTTGGTCTTTGTGCGCTCACTCTTACTACTTGTTTTTTATCCCCTATAACTTGAATGGGCATTGTCATATATTCTTTTTTCAGAAATCTGGGGTCTATCAGACTCTAGATATCTCCTCTGCCCTAACATTATCTAATCAAACCAAAATCGGTGTGTTCAGATGCCTCCCCAATTTACAAATGGCACTGTTTACATCCTGTGAAACTGAAGTGATGAAATGCTCATAGCTTCTGATTTTGTAGGCTATAGAGATGATTGGCACCATTCTGGTCTCCAATCAGCTCTATGGTCAGCTGGCAGAAACACTGGCTGCTTTCTCAGGTTCCCCCGATGGCACGGGACTGCCCGAGAAGGTGTGGAAGGCAGCGGAGGGAGGGGGGGCATCATCTCCAGCTGCTTGCAAAAGCATTACTGCAGCTAATTAGCACTAGAATTTTTTTTTTTTTTACTTCGGAGAGTACATGTGATTAGCACAGGGCCAATCAGCACTGTCCAGACAGAGGGCAAGGGTCCTGCAATGAACCAGCAAACACAAATGCTCCTGCGCTTGGGGATGGACTTGATGCAGGCTACAACCACATTAAGAATGTTCTGGAACATGCACACCTTGCTGCCCTCAAATGGACTGGGGGAATCCAAATATACTGAATGAGGAAAAAACAAATGCACAGGCCTAGTGCATTACCATAAAAAATGTTTAATAAGAAATAAAATAGGTGTTGTACTCACAAACGAGAATAAAGTCAAGGCACATCATAAAAGAACAGCTGGGTCAACACCACGCTGAGTAACAGTCCGCAATGGGGAGTGTAGACATCCAATAGCTGACGCGTTTCGAGGACTTGCCTCTTCCTCAGAGCCAGGGTCCTGCATCCTCATAGAGGAGAATGAAAACCCCAGCTAAAAGCTTTAACCAGTGTTCTCCTGGACACTGATAGAAGTCACATGACTGCTCTAATTGCTGATGAGAAAAGGTATTTAGCAGTTTATATCTACTAAATAATTGCATTTCCATGTTCTCTGTACTGTGAGAGATCAGATATAGTGAATGCAGGGTCCTGGGTTTGGTAATATTTTAAAATGTGTGAAAAGCATTTACAATGCTACTTTAATGGAAAAAAAACAGAACTTCAGTACAATGACTATAGTTTCACACTTCCTGTCAACTGATACTGAGGAATATTGTTCTAGTTTAACATAAAACTTGCTGACACAAACAAATCACATGCACAATAACCACAAGCAATAGAAGCAGATATTTCTTATTTCACGTCTCTATAGCAGCGGTCTCCAACCTGCAGCCCGGTTTGCCTTTATCCGGCCCTTGGAGCACTTTTCCTCTCACTGATAGAAGTTGGGCGATTGGAGAGGAGCACCCAATGTCCAAAAAAAAAAGTCTCGTGATGAATTTTATAGTTGTTTATTGAAAATAAAAGTAAACAAGTAAAGCTAACTAATTTCAGGGGTATTGCCTCCCACTTCTTCAGGGCTAGTATATAGAGAGTATCAGAAAAGGTAGGAGCCCTAGACCCCAATGGAGACATTGTGTACTCTTCTCCATTCAACTAAGTGTTCCCTGCAGTAATATCTCTATTGTCATTATCAAAAAGCTAGCAACCCTAGACCCCAACGGAATCTATCATGAACAACCTACAACTGGGATATAAGCAATTCCCTCTACCCCCCCCCTTCCCCGCCCCCCACAGTTGCTTGCCACTAGGCAGTCCAGTACTGTCTTCCACTCAAACTTGATTCCCACTGATACAAGACACTATTACTTCCACTGGCACCCAGTGTTGACGGGCATAATTCCTGCTACTGACATCAACAATGGGGCACTATTCCTCCGACTGATACCAATGATAGGGCACTATTCCTTCCACGAACACCAATGATGGGGCACAATTCCTCTCAATAACACCAATGATTGGGCACTATTCCTCCCACTAATACCAAAGATGGGGCACCATTCTTCCTACTGACACCAAAGATGCATTGTTTACTCCTACTGCCGCCAGGACAATGTATACTCCCAATGGCCACAGTCAGGCCCCTTAAAGTCTGAAGGA